GGAGACTTGATGGAAGCCTAAAAAATTATGAGCTGCATAGATAGGGTTGATGGTCAGATTCTTCTTCCCACAGTTGAAATGTATTAAACTAAGGGGCATGCATTTAAGGTGAGAGGGTGAAAGTTCAAAGAAGATATGAGGGGCAAGTTTTTTGCAGAGAGAGAGGTTCGGAATCTGGAATACACTGCCACGCGTGGTGGTGGAGGCAGATACGATAGAGGTGTTTTAGGAAATTTTAGATAAGCACATGAATATGTAAGGAATGGAGGGATATGGACCAAGGGGCAGGCAGAAGGGATTAGTTTCATTTGGCATCCTATTCGGCTCAACATTATGGGTTGAAGGGCCAGTTCCTGTGCTGTACTGCTCTACGTTCTATGTTCTTCATTACTGGAACATGCCAATCCTGAACTCTCATCAGTAGGTCTTTAAACAATTCCCACATGTCAAATGTGGACTTGCCTGATAACAGCTCCTCCCAATTAACACTCCCTGGCTCCTGCCTAATGCTGACGTACATTGCCTTCCCCCAATTCAGTACTTTCCCACAAGGTCCTGACTTAGCCTTATTCACAGCCATCTTAATACCAAAGGAGTTGTGACTACTATTTCCAAATTGCTCTCCTACTGAAAGGTCTGTCACTTGGCTTGACTCATTAGCTAATACAAGGTCCAGTATAGCCCCTTCTGTATTTTGACTATCCACTTACTGTTTTAAGAAACCCTGTTGGATGCACTTAACAAATTTTGCCCCATCTAACCCCTAAGCTCTAATGGAGTCCCAGTCAATATTGGGGATGTTAAAGTCACCCACTATGATAACTCTCTTTTTATTGCACCTTTCCATAATCTGCTCACATATTTGTTCCTAAATATCTCAGTGGCTGTTGGGGGGATCTATTGTATAATCCTAACAGAGTGATGGTAATGTTTGAGTGGGGGATATGCTGGGTCATGAGGTTACAGATTGTGCTGGAGTACAATCCTGCTGCTGTTGGTAGCCCACAGCAGCTCATGGATGCCCAGCCTAGATCTGTGTGAAGTCTATCCCATTTAGCACGGTGATAGTGCCACACAACACGATGGAGGTTATTCTCATTGTGAAGGCGGGACTTCGTCTCCACGAGGACTGCACGAATGGTTACCAACACATTCATGGATGGATGAAACTGCAGCTGGCAGATTTGTGAGGATGAGGTCAAGTATGGGATTTGGTTGTCACCGGCCAAGCATCAGTCAAGCTTGGGAAAGTGGCAGTGAGCTGACACCATTGTCCTTGAAGAACAGTGCTCCCACAGTGCTGTTTGCTGGTTAGGATGTGGTCAGTCAACTACAAAGCAAAAAGCTCATTTTCATGAGGCAGCTTTTACCTCCTTAGGCTGTGCCAATATGTGTATCTTGTGCAGCAAAAGAATAACTATTTAAATGTAGTCATCATTGTGAGTGTAGGAAGCATGGCAGGCAATTTATTTTATCCCACTAGCCCTTCACAATTAGATCTGGGTTTCAAGTTGAGCTAGGTACAGATCTGAATTTCCTTGGGCCTTTGATCATATTGAAAGGGATTGTAGTTTGCCAACACCTCAGACAGCAATAGCTGCTTCTTCCCTAAAAGTTACATCGTGGCCACGAGAACTTTTCCAAGACTGACCCTTTTTCAACAGCAAATGTAAGGGTGCAAGGATTGAGGGCAGGTTATGTTTGAATTTGCCATAATAATTCATCAACCCAAGGAAAGACGTAAGCTCCGGTACAGACGTGGGAGCCTGGGCAGCCTTGATCACCCTCACTTTATCTTCCAACAGGTGTAACTTGGTCTTGTTGACTCTGTAGCCTAAGTAGGTCACTTGGGTGCCTGGAACACACATTTTTCCCTACTAAAGCATATCCTCACCTTGGAGTTTAAACATTATGTCCAAGTTCTCAATGCTATTTATGGGATGGGGTGGGGATTCCTCTGGTTAATAGCACGTCGTCCAGATAAATGGCGAACTTGGGGTAGACGTAGTAAAATGTTCTCCATCGTCTGCTGGAAAATGGCATAGCTGATAATACCCCAAAAGGCGATCTGTATATTGCAACAAACCCTTATATTAATTGTAGAATACTTCGGTGAATTCTCACCTGATCACAATTGCAGGTATGCATGGCTCATGTCCAGCTTTATGAAGGACATCGACCCCCAAAACAGTTTTGTGTATAAGTCCTCTTTCGCAAGGGATGGGACATTTATCCAGCTGCAAAAAGCAGTTCACCGTTTGTTTGAAATCCCCATAAATCCCCATCAAGCTCCGCAATCAGCACAACCGGAGCTGCCCATTCTACAAACTGGACTGGTTTGATGATTCTTTCACTTTCCAGCTGCCTGATGTCTGCCTCTACTTTTGCATTTAAGACAAAAAAAAAGGCACTAGGTATGCCTTGAAGAATCATGGAATTTGCCCCTTGGTCAACATGTAAGGTGGCCTTAGCCTTTTTTAAATAGTCCCAAGACCTTCCTGAAGAGCTTCTGGGTATTTAATTAGGACTTCACTCAGACAGCCATTTTTTTAATCAAAAAATGTTGAGCCAATCAAGTGGAATCTTTCTCAACCCATTTTGCCCCATCAAGCTTGGGCCTAAGCCTTTTATTACAACAAGTGGGTGTCTGAAACAGCTACTTCTCATGAGAGACCAGAATTGAAGTTGCATCTTTAATCTGTAATGGTTCCCGATGTAGGTTCTCAGCCTGGTTGATGTCTTACGCAAATTTAAGGGTTGGAATCCTGAGCGAATTTTGGTAAAGACTGGTTCCGTATTCACTGATATAGTTCGGTGTCGAACTCCATTAGAACTGGGTGACCACTTAACCAGACATTTATTTTGATTGGTTCTGATTTGGATGTTGCTAAGCAATTTAACTGTTCCAAGATGTGGAAGTTCTGGTGTTGGACTGGGATGGACAAGGTCAAAAATCAAATGACACCAGGCTATAGTCCAACAGGTTTATTAAAAACAGGCTTTTGGAGCCTTGCTCCTTCTTCAGGTGTTACCGAGAGAGGTATTATCAGACACAATTTATAAGTAAAAGATCAAAGAGTCATAGAACTGATGTGAATGTATTGAACAAACCTAAGAGGGCTGTTAAATCTTTAATCAGTTAGAAAGGAGATGCAGGCTTCGTTGATTAATATGCAAATCCAGAAAGAAATACTCAATTCATACGGAGTGGGACGACTTTGCTGTCTCTAGTCCACATACGGGCAGCAACTACAATGGCCTACTACCCTGCATCCTCAATGACTTTATAATCGTTTGGCTGAAGCTTGTCCTGAGTGAGGCCATGAAACTGCCTTCACTCAAGTTGTGTCCCCCAAGATCAGTCTACTTCCATCAGCATACTCTGGAACTCATAAGCTCCACTTGCTACATTTTCTAACAACAAAGTCAGTTGTAGTGAATGTTTGAGTTCCAGTTAGGCTTCAGCTTGTAGGCGCTATTGCATGGTCATATCATTAATCCCATATACCAAACAGTCTGCCAGCATCACTTAGGGTTAAAGCAAAAGCACATGCTTCTGCCAGTCATCTTAACATAGTCAAAAATCCCGATATGGATTCCCTTCCTTCTCAAACTGTTCAGTAAAACCGATAGCATCTCAGTAAAAATCAAAAGAACTGTGGATGCTGTAAATTAGGAACAAAAATAAAGTTGTTGGAAAAGCTCAGCAGGTCTGGCAGCATCTACGAAGGAAAATACAGAGTTAACGTTTCAGGTCCTTTCTCAGAACACATCTCAGATAGCATCTTAGAATTAGAGGAGGCTTGGGGTCATAATATTCTTTAGCTAAATCCGTCAAATCTGAAAAGGCTCTTGTATCTGGTGCCTCCGGGAAAGTTCGGTTTTGAAAAAGCTGCAGGTCCACAAGCTGTCAGGAGAATCACTCATTGCTTTTCATCTGCCCCAATGTCATTTGTCTGGAAAAAAATGATGCATTCTTTTCTCATTTTGGGTCCAGTCTTCGACAGCAGGATCGAATGAGTAATCTTCCCAAATAGCAGCATGATGCCAGAAACGCTTACCCCAACCAAAGACGACTGTTGCGAGTGAATCTCTTCAGGGGCTTACTTTTCCCTTGTCGCCACTGAAAAAGCTCCATGAAGGCTGGTATCCTGTCACCACGTTACCCTTTATTTACATGACCATAGCACGTGACACTGACCCAGCTAGCACAGAATCAGCTCCTGCAGTGAACAGAATCCTTGACACTCCTGTTTATTATCTGTCAGCCAGTGCTCCTTGATTGGAATAGGTAAACAGCCACAATTAGGAAACTCATATTCTTAAGACCCTCCTGGCTGACCTCATTGCAGTGGCGAAACAACTTTTTTACTTGAATCATACACAGGCTCAGGTCAGAAGGTACAACACAAGCTGTTGTCAACAACTGGAAGATGGCTCTGAGTTAAGAATACAGAAGCTGATTGGGTATTGATTTGCTTGTATTACCTGCGAAGTGATTACAATCACAGGATGCTGCAGTTAACTGAGAGCAACCTTCAGTGAGAACTGATGGAGTACTGTCCTCCTACTGTTTACCCTATACAGCTCAATGTATTATCCTCTTACTGTCTATAGTGCTCAATGTACTGTCCTACTGTCTACTCTATACTGCCCACTCTAATCTCTTCTTACTATCCATTCTATATTGCTCATTCTAATGTTCACTTTTTATGTACTGTGCCCTGTCCTTTCACCGTTGTCTTTGACCCTATTCATTTTATTGTCCATTACACTATCTGTCCTTCCTTTTGAATGCACACCACATCTATTTTCTGAAGAAGGGTCCCAACCCCAAACGTCAATTTTCCTGCTCCTCTGATGCTGCCTGGCCCGCTGTGCTCTACCAGCTCCACACTGTGTTAAGTCTATCCTGCCATTTGTTGGGTTCTGTGGCTATGTCTGGGTTTAGTAATATAACTTTAATTCACTGAGTGCTAATGATCTCTTGTGATTTGCAGGTGGTGGATCACTCAACACCATGTGGAAATCTGTGGATTCAACCTTTCTGTTTTGGTGCCTTGTTTATCAGCTTATACCTCATATAGGTAGGGAAGAGGGATTTTTTTTCACTTTTGCAGTTATGTTGTATGTATTGCAAGGGATATGCCAATAAACATTGTGTGTATGTAGTTGGCAGAGTGAGCTGTAGTCTCCTGCAGGGACAATGGTGCATTCCAACACTGTCAGCTGCCATCACTGGTGATTGTGTATTAATTGTGTTTAATTTTGTGTAGGTAGTGGGCATTATTGGGAACCCTCACAAAAATAGACACAAACCACTAAACAACTGCACCTCCCAGTCGCGAACTATTTCATTCCTCATAAGACATGTCCATCCTGGGCCTCCTGCAGTGCCACAACGATGCTACCCGAAGGTTGCAGGAACAGCAACTCATATTCCACTTGGGAACCCTGCAGCCCAATGGTATCAATGTGGACTTCACAAGCTTCAAAATCTCCCCTCCCCCTACCGCATCCCAAAACCAGCCCAGCTTGTCCCTGCCTCCCTAATCTGTCCTTCTTCCCACCTATCCCCTCCTCCC